CGCCACGGCTTTGGAGCGCTCCCTGCCCTTTCACAGTAGGCAAACTAACTATGCCTTAGAAGGCTGCCGTTGGCTCTAATTAAGCTCATCTGCCACCACTTCTTGAAAGTAAGTCCTCCTCTACCGGCTTACACTAGCTCAAGCCGAAGGTTTGAGACCCCCCCATCTCTCATCAGTTCACTGACCGGACCCTCCGCAGGGATTCTACACCCTACCTCAGACCGGGTTGCTCAGCTTAACAGGCCTCGTTATGGGAAGGTGAGAGTGGAGTTGAGGTGGAGAGGCTATAAGAGACACACCTCCTTGAGCCCCGTTATACCTGACACAGTCACCTCAAAAGCTAAACATATTTGTCAATAGGAATTCATATTTCAAGTAATTAAAACATTCCAGATGTTAGATGCAAAATCAAATGAAAACAATACATGAAAGATATATTATCTAGAACCATTAATATTATAACCATTAATACAAAGTATTGAAAAGAAATGTTGTGATAATGATAATGAAGAAATCATTTTATTTCTACAAATATTAATATTAAATATAATTTCAGAGGTTGACATAAAAGTTTAATGTTAATTTGAGAGACAATTAATTATTGGAGCAATATTAATTTTTAAAATATCATTACAAAACAAAGTATTAACATGGTTTTAGTGAAGTCTATATTTTAGTGAAGTCTTTTGCGGGAGAATTTTGGCAGGTTTTTGAATGAAAATAAATGAACTTAAGTACTGTTCATGTTTGGTTCTTACATTACTCGCAAATGCTTAAAATAAAATGTTCCATGTTTCAAAGGCTATATGGCTAAAAATAAGAAAATTTAAATTAGGAATTATGGATAATAAAACTTCATTTGAAGATCATTAATTTAAACCACTTGATAACAATAGAAGTTCCACAGAGATGAGCAAATGCCAGTCAGTACTGAGTCCCGAGTATTTTATTAAACTGTTAACCTCCCAATTCTGATTACGGTACTCAGATATTCAACTTGCCCGAATATTTTACTTAAATAGCTCACCTGTGCCATATTGAGTACTTTGCTCACGGCCTATTATAAATTATAGTTTTAAGTACTGTATGCTTTTAGTTAAATATATAAATTATATTAATAGATGTTCCATTGTTATTACATAAATATTGTTAAATGTAGACTTTTAATTGTTTAACTAATTACTAGTAACAAGTTTTGGATTTCTTTTTTAAATAATTAAGATTTAACATTATAATCCCATTATACCTATACGTTTATTTAAAATTTTCATAAAAAGTTTTATAATATGTTTTTGAAGACTTGATTTTTTTAAAATAAACTCGATTTTGAGATTACGTCACTGCTTTTTGACTTATTTGAGTTTTTCAGATGAGACTCTAGTATCCTTTTATATATATATATATATATATATATATATATATATATATATATATATATATATATATATGTATGTATATATATATATGTATATATACATATATATATATATATATATATATATATATATATATATATATATATATATATGTATGTATATATATATATATGTATATATACATATAAGGGAGCTGGGGTAGCCGTGCGGGCTAATAAGGCGGTTGCAATAGGTAACCGTTAAGTAACACCGAGCGTGGTTAGCAATTGGATGGGTGTCCGTCCACCCGGGGGGAAAGCCACACTGCCCGAGATTCCCCCCTCCTCAGGTATGTGAGGCCTGTCATACTGCTGGAGGCAACTCATACCAATCTTGTGTAGGACTGATGACCCTATCCCCATGTAATTAAATCAGGAATCGGGATATGGTCTAGGAGACCACACTCACTGTCAAAGATCTTAAGATCTTCATGGTCTGTAGCACCAACCGAAAAAAAACAGAAATATATAAACACATACAGGATATCCCTGAACTAGAGGGAAATATTTAAAAGGTTAATAGTAGATATCAAGATCTACAAAAAAATGCATATAAACTATTGCCCGATTTCCAGCTGAAAAGTAGGAAATTTAAGATTTGTGTTTTTTTAAGAGAGTCAAAATAAATAAATCAAAACTTGGTGGCGTAATCTCAAAATAGAGATTATTTTTAAAAAGTCAAGTCTTTGAAAACATATTATAAAACTGTATATGAAAATTTTAAATAGAGGTATACATATAATTGGACCATAATGTGGCTATTATTTTTTTAAAAAATCCAAAATTTGTTATTAGTAATTAGTCGAACAATTAGAAGTATATATTTATGTAATTAGAACAATAACATATCTATTAATATAATTTATATATTTAAATAAAGGCATACAGTACTTAAAACTATAATTTAAAATAGGCTGTGAGCATAGTACTCAAAGTGGTGCAGGTCAGTTATTTGAGTAAAATACTCAGATTCGGGCAAGTTGAATATCTAGGTACCCTAATCAGAATTGGGAGCTTGATAGTTGAGTAAAATACTCTGTACTCAGTATTCAATTTGGCATTTGCCTATCTCTGAGTAGAACATGCTAACAAAATTATTGAAAACTTTCTGCAGAATCACATCTGTGCCATTCTCGAAAAAATAAAAGAACAGCCCAATATAGCATTATCAGATCCAGAAATTAATTTTGGGGAGCTGCAGCTCTCAATTTTTATATATATATTAAAGTTATTAAACGAAGAAGTTTTTGTTAAAGTGGGGTAACTGTAATACAGTTGAAGGGTCTTAAAACAAATTCACAAATAATTTATGACTTTTTATTAAATGGAACTTAGCTGTGTTTAGCCGCTCCAAAGTCCTCTTTAAATAGATTTAACAATGACAAACTCTAATTTAATTTAAAGGTTTTTTTTTTTTTTTTTTTTCTTATGCTGTCGGTCATTTGGCCATCCGACATCTTGCTGCCCAGTATAATTTAGACTTTCTGTATATTGTATATATCAATAATATTGTATTGACAATATTTTTTCTCTTATGTCCCTCAAGGCAGGACATGCGTCTAGATGGTCTGCATCCATTGTTCCTTGATGACACAATTTACAGGTAGGATCCTCAGCGACGCCTATCTTGTAGAGATGACTCTGCAGATAGTCGTGACCAGTGGCCAGGCGGAAGCAGGCAACTGCATCTCTTCTCGGCAGCTCAGCTGGAATCGGATTATCCTTCAACCACTCGTAACGCTTCCCTTCCACTTTGCCGAAATGTACTTTTCTTATTTCTTCCTTCACTACCATCTTTACCATTCGCCGTATTGAGTCGTAGGGTTTTGGATGTATCGGCTGAGGCAAATCTGTTCCTCGCTTGGCAAGAATATCAGCCTCAACGTTACCCGGAATCCCACAATGGCTGGGGATCCACTGTAGGACCACATTGGTGCCTCGGTGTGTCAGGTTAGAGAGGAGGGATTTACATTCCAATATAGCACTTGATAAACATTCATTCGTGCTTGTAACAGCAAGGATGGCTGCTTGGGAGTCGATGAAGAGAACAGCGCTCTGATCCCGCCTTCTAGACAATGTTCTTAAGGCTATGAGGATCGCCGCTATCTCACCGTCGAAATTTGTTCCATCTTTACCCACCGCAGCGCTGATTTGGAATTCCCTTGGATAAACCCCTGCTCCAGCATTTTTAACGGCTGATTCAGCTGATCCGTCGGTATAGATATGGAACCAATCTTGAGGAGGGTACTTTTGAGCTATGGTTTCTAATGCTAATGCTTTTAGCTCGTATTCAGGTGTTTTTTTCTTATCCATTTTATGAAGGAGTTGCAGTTCTGCATTGAATGTGTGATTGTGAATTGGTAACTGTGGATGTATAAATGGTTCCCTTTCTTCGCAGTCAAGCCCTCCTTCTTCAAGTAGTGCCATTGCCTTCAGCATGAAGGATTTTTGTATCTTCAGCCGTTGAGAGGGGATTTTGTATTTTTTCCAAAACTCTTGGTCTATTCTTTTCGTTCGCTCGTGAAGGCACATTGCAGCTCGCTCACGCTGTTTCGATAGAGGTTCTACTGTGGTCTGCAGTTCCATAGCTACAACAGGGGTTGAGCGCGGTACACCCAAAATCAAACGCAGAGCTTTGTTCTGTTGGTCATCTGATCTTTTCAGGGATACATCTGCCGCAGTACAGATGACTTCAGAACCGTATTCCAGTACTGGGCGTACATAGGTTTTATATGCAAGACCCATCACATCCTGGGTGGCCCCTCCTGTCTTTCCTCCAAGGCGTTTCAGAAGTTTTAGCCTGTTTTCCCCCTTTTCCACCATCTCTTCAATTTGTTTGTTCCAGATCATTTTTGTATCTAACCTAACTCCCAGATATTTGCCTGCATAGGTTCTTGGTAATTTAATTTAAAGTGAATTTTGTCTAGTTTACAATGGAGGAATGTTTAATTACTTAAGTCAAATATTTTTTAAGTTATTGCTTCCTATTCATCAAAAAACTTGACTCTCTTAAAAAAACACAAATCTTGAATTTTCTAGTATATTATCAACATTTTAAATATTTCCCTCTGTTTACGGGACACACTGTATATATATATATATATATATATATATAATATATATATATATATATATATATATATATATATATATATATATATATATATATAGATATATATATTTCTCTGATAAATACTTATTAATTCCTATGACGGAGATCTGGAAAAACACAGTTTCATAACTACTTTAAGTGAAAAATATTTAAAAAATCAATATTTTTAAATTTTGTAAATAAATTGTGGTTTAGGCAATTACAGAAATCCACGCGCGGGCTCATTACCGCGTATGGGGAGTGTCCCACGGGTGGCGGATGTGAGGATGGTCGGTGGAAATTCCTTGGAAGTTCCTCCCGGCTAAGTCCGATGGGCTCGCTGACCAACAAGGAGAGAGACCCTCCAGACTTGATGGAGGCAGGAGCCCACCAGACTTACTGGAGGCATGGGCCCACCAGACTTGCTGGAGGGTGTGACGTAGGATTGAACTTCCTACTCACATATCTTTAGTTCACCATACACCGCAAATAGTCATGGATCTCCCTAAGGTAAAATGCTCACTATCCGGAGGTAAACTAGTCCCCCGTTCGGGTCTCCGGGTGGGGACTGCTTTAGGGGATTCATGGCGCAAGTTGAAAAATAGGGATTTAAATATTGATACGTGCAACGTAAGGCGTTTAAGCACAGCAGGAGGGGGGAGGGTAAATCGGTCGCGAATGAGGTAAATGGCTACAATTTGGATGTCGTGGCTCTGTAAGAGGTTGCTGGCCAGGAGAGGGCTCGATGAGGGATGGGAAGTACACTATTTGGTATGGAGGAAGCGAGAATCATTGTTTAGGTACCGGGTTTCTAATTAGGAATAGATTGCTATCCGCTTTCAGGGACGTACAATTCTTTAGTGATAGAATTTCGGTAGCTATATTTTAGGGCCGTTGGGTTAAAATTGCATTAATAAACATACATCGTCCGACCGAAGACAGTGATGATGAAGTAAAATGTGAATTTTACGATAAACTCGAATGGGTTTATGATAAACTACCGCGAAACTCCATGAAAATAATTATAGGTGACGCGAACGCAAAGGTGGGAAGAGAAGAAGTTTATGTTGCGACAATTGGTAAAGAAAGTTTGCACAAATATAGTAATAATAATGGAATCCGTCTGATAAACTTTGCCATCTCGAAAAACCTGATAATTAAAAGTACTACGTTTAAATATAAGGATATTCATAAATATACTTGGACATCACCGGATTCGCAAACACGAAATCAAATCGATCATGTCTTAATAAGCAGTATAATTAATGTACGGTCTTATCGCAGAGCAGAATGTGGGTCGGATCATGAATTAGTAATCGCAAAACTTCGACAAAAACTTGATATAAAAAAAAAGAAAAGAAAAACGTTTCGATTTTGAGAATTTCAATTTGGAAAAATAAAAAAATTCATCAATTAGAACCCAATTCGAGCTAAATGTTCTAGCTTAGAATAGGTTCAAACCTAGAATAGGTTCAAACCTAGAAGCTATAGAGCTTTCTGATGAAGACCGCAAGGATGTTGACAAGTTATGGGTAGAGATCAGGGATAATATTAAAGCTGTCAGTAACTCACGTCTAGGAAAAACACAAAATAAGAATCTAACCATGGTTTGATGAAGATTACTTAAACGTGTGCGAAAAAAGAAAAGCCGCTAAATTAAAAGTTCTAAATAATCCTAGCGAAGACAATCTGAAATACTTCCGAACATCAAAGAATGAAACGACAAAATTGCTCAAAAAAAAAAAAAAAAAAAAAAGTAAGAGACATGTACAAAGGTATAAACAGATCACGTAAATGTTTAGGACCTGTCATGTCTGGAATTAGGGATGAAAATAACAATATTCTGACAGATCCCGTAGACATATTAAATATGATTAAGAGCCACTTTGACAGTATTTTAAATTTGGGAAATTATGATCTCTGTCCTCCTTGTGAGTACCAGTGTGCGGAACCGTTAATAGAAGAACCGAGTAAAGAGGAAGTTGAAGTAGCTATCGGAAAATTAAAATCTTACAAAGCAGCGGGAACCGATAATATTCCTACTGAACTAATTAAGGCGTGCGGGGAAGCTGGAGTTTCTCAAATACTTCGATTGGTTATAAAGATCTGGGAGAATGAGAAATTACCTGAAGAATGGAAAGAATCTATTCTTATTCCGATACACAAAAAGGGCCCGAGGGTGGTTGTAATAACTATCGAGGAATTTCACTCATTCCGGTATGTTATAAAATATTCATTTTAATCTGAACTAATCGAATCACGGAATACGCCGAGGAAATTATCGGAGACTACCAATGCGGATTTATTATCTAACGGATCGTTCCAATAGGGAATCGTTCGACTATTGATCAAATATTTTCTTTATGGCAAATATTAGAGAAATAATTAGAGTACAACGGTATTGTTCAACGATTCTTACGATTCTATTGACCGCCAAAAGCTTTATAATATTCTAATCGAGCAGGGGATTCCAAAAAAAAGTAATAAATCTAGTCAGGATGTGCTTAACGGGAACAATCAATAAAGTTAGAATCGGTAATAATCTGTCTGAAATGTTTGAGGTTCGGTCGGGTTCAAAACAGGGGGATTCCCTTTCGCCTGTCCTGTTCAATTTGGCATTAGAACATGCCATTAGGGAGGTAATGCGTACCGAAAAAGGGTTGGATCTGGGTGAGACAACACCCGTGCTGGGCTATGCGGATGATCTGGTACTGTTAAGCGAAGACGTGGAAACTAAAACTAAATTCGACAACTTTAATGAATGCCAGTGAAGAACTGGGGCTCGAAATAAACACGGATAAGAGAAAATATATCGTTAGCTGCAAAAATGGTGATATCGATATAGATGGTAATATGTTTGAACAGGTAGAGAAGTTTAGATATCTAGGGCCAACAATAACTAGAAAAAACGAAATTGAAGAAGAGATTAAGGTTAGACTGAAGGCGGGAAATGCTTGTTATTTTTCTGTGACAAAATTACTTAGCTCGCGCCTTTTGTCCCGGAACTTAAAAACTAGAATCTATAAAACCATTATCTTACCTACGGTTCTTTATGGTTGCGAAACGTGGCCGCTTACATTAAGGGATGAGCAATGACTTAAGGTTTTTGAATATAAATTATTGCGTAGAATATTTGGACCGAAGAAGTATGAATTAACCGGAGAGTCCAGACGGTTACACAACGCCGAATTGCGTGAACTGTATCCGGGTAATTTAATTGAGGAGATTTCATTCCGGCGAATCAAATAGGCCTATAAAATTGTTGGGCTTAGTGACGAGAGAATTCCTAAAAGGTTAATATTTGCTGTACCGAATGGTAAACATCTGAGGGGTAGACCGAAGCGAAGGTGGGAAGATTCCATTAAAGCCGATTTGAAGAGACTAGGTTTTGGCGACCGGGGGTGTGTAATAAGCGATTGGTGGTGTCAGCATCGAACCTTCGGGTTCACTAAGCCTCTTATTATTATTTTTAGTTATATATTATTTAGGCAATTATGTTTATTATAATACATCCCATGACAGGGATAAATAATAAATAAAATCTTTGCAACAGTTAATTGTAATCATTTTTGCAGAAAACAATGGTAATTTTAGGTGACTGGATAAAACATCACATGTTTTTTTACACAACTTGAAGTGAATCTCAAGTTTTTCCGTAATAAACCTCAACTTAATATAGAATTTAAGATTATTAAACGAAAAAGTTTTTCTAAAAGTGGAGTATCTGCAGTATAGTTGGTTGTAATAAAAAAAAAATCGCGAAAAATTTATGATTTTTTAAAAAATAGAACTTAGCTTAGTTTAGCAGCCCAAAAGTCCTTTTTAAATTGTTTTAATAGTGAAAACCTCTATTTTTGTTTGAACTAATCTTTTTATAGTTTACACAAATGTTGAATTTCCTACTTTTCTGCTGCAAATTGGCCCATTGTTTAAATGAACTTTTTTGTAGCTCTGGGAATCTGCTTGTACTGTAAAGTAAATATACCCCTGTTTTCGGCAAAAATGATTAAAAATAATTATAAATCTTTTATTTTTTGTTCTTCCTTAATCTAGGGTGTTTTGTAATAAATATAATTGCCTAAATACACTTTTTATTTATAAAACATATTTTTGATAAATACTGATTTTTCGAATATTTTTCTGGCAAAGTGTTTCCGGTGGTGCTTTTTATGTCAAACATTCACATTTTTGATACTCCTCAAAATAAAAAATAAATCTTTTTTCATTGGTTCTTATTTGTTTCTATGAATGATTTGAGTTAAATATTTACATAAAAAAAAATCACAATATGTATTATTTTTAAATTATAATTCATATTCAGCAACTAAATGTAAGCCAAAACAAATATATAAACAGTTTATCCCTAATATACTTATTGTCCAAACCTCTTAAACATCATTTTATGTATTTTCTTTCAGAGTAATTACATTAAAAAAGCAATTAAATGTTCCTCATTAGGATAATGATTGACTATGAGATAGACAAATGATGTAAAAATGTCCATTCTCATCAATATTCCATTGGATTAGGCTACTGAGATCACTGTATTTGGCTGTTCTTCTATTTTTTTTTTAGAATGCTACAGATGTAATTCCTCAGAAAGTTTTCAATAATGTTGTTAATGTGTTATTTTATTATGAACTAATTTAAATTAGTCATCTTGAAATCTAGTTTTATCACCCACAATTCCTATTTCACATTTTCTTATTTTTAACTATACAGCCTTTGAAACATGGAGCATTTTATTTTAAGCATTTTTGAGTAATGTAAGAACCAAATATAAACAATACTAAAGTTCATTTATTTTCATTCAAAAACCTACCAAAATTCTCCTGCAAAAGACTTCAGTAAAACCATCTTAATACTTTGTTTTGTAATGATATTTTAAAAATTAATGTTTTCAATTCAGTATATGATTTTTTTTCTCACTTTATTAGTCCCTTAATTAATTTATAGAATTTCAGAAGGAGTTGGTCAGGGGGTGCGGTCAAATAAATACTAAATTTAAAACAAATAGTATTTTAATTGTTTAATTAATTGTTGTTGTTTATTTATTTATTAACAATTGTTTATTTAATTGTCAATTAACAATTAAAATACTATTTTTTCAAAATTTAGTATTTATTTTACAGCAACCCCCCACCAACTCCTCATATTATATCATGGTCAACCATCTCTACAGCATTATGAATTTATAGAATTATTTTATCATTGGTATTGATAGATATATCTTTTATTGCTTCTTTACATATAACATATTTCAGATTCCATGAATTCTGTATTCGAGGCTGGTGCATTGTTGGTAAGAAACAAATCTGTCCTTACTGCAAAGAGAAAGTTGATCTAAAACAAATGTTTAGAAATCCGTATCCTTATGAAGTTATTTTTTGTACTTGTTACCATTAAATTATTTTAGATAGCTCTTTTCTAGGGATATTTATTTTATTTCTTCAATGTATATATATATTTTCGAGAATTGAAATGAAAATGGTTGTGGTTTATAAAACTAACTACTGACAGAAAATGTCAAAAAGAAAAAAATATAATGGATCCCAAATAAATTAAAAATAAAATTAAGTAAATAGCCAACAAGTGAAGTAGTAATTTGAAATAATTCATATAATCATAAAATACGTCAATTTTTTTTTTTTTTTTTTTTTTTTCCCTACCTCGCCTTATAGGCTATACGGGATTTTCCCGGGCCGGGGGGTGAGGGCGGGGAATTTAAAATCCCCTCCGGCACCGGGACGCGAACTCGTACTTTTTATATCATCTCAAATCTCTGTTATCCGGTTGCCAGGCAACTAGCGGTGCTGTGCACACGCTTTAGCCTATTCGGCCACCCCGCCCCCTGAATAAATACGATTTATTTTTTTTACGATTATTTTTTTTTTCTAAAAAAAATATTTGTATTGTGCACTTACCAGCCAACATTCAGCCAATATGCTATCTCAAACGAACCGGAGTCATCTTTCTCCCTTCACTGAACCGCATCGAAACGCTAATCTTCAAGGCCAGACAACACAATTATGTCTTCCTTTTGGTCAACTCTTAAAATGTTTACCCGTCCGTGTTAGTGCTTCTTATATTTTTACTGATTCGTTATATATCTGAACAATTTCATACTCTCATTTCAGTCATCTTGATGGTTTCATTTTAATTGCATTTAATAGGTACACGTCATCTGATTAGGCACACGTTTTTTTTTTCGGATTTCTTCGATGTTGGTGTCCATTTTTAGGTTATGAAGGGCGATTTTCATTAAAATTCTAACAATTTTAGTATTGCACGCTCAGGTTTCAATTTATCATAACTTTTCAGATATCCTCAATATTAAGAGCAATTACTAGGTTATTAAGGGCGCTTTTTATGAAGATACTATCTATTTTACAAAGGTATGGCGATGATTGACAGTAATTCTAATTCAAGAAGAACTTTGTCGGGGTGCGGTCAAAAAATAATACTATACATTATAGTAGTATTTTATCGCATTTGCTAACGTTTCGTCGACATTGTATTTCTTCATGAGGCCTGAAATAACAGAATACAAATAATAAATATTAATTGGTATAAGGTAAAAATAAATAAAATAACAGTTGATATTACACTAGTACAGGTTGCCAGATGAAGAATTTAAGGAATTATAAGTGTTGAAGTGAATCATAGAATCTTTTTAAATACGATGTACTATACAGAGTATCCTGTAAGTAGAGTGAAATATTTATCAGGATATTACCTCAAGAGCTACAAATTATAAATAGTTTCCCGATTTAGAATGTTGGAAATTAAAGTTTTGTGTTTTTGAAGTATTTCACGTTTTTTGTTGTATAGGAAGCAATAACTAAAAAATATTTAATTTAAATAGTTTAAAATTATTTCACTGTAAACTAAAAAAAAAAAAAGTAGTTCAAATGAAAGTAGAATTTTTCATTGTTAAAACCATTTAAAGCGGACTGTTGAGCTAAACTATAGTACAGTTTTTAAAAAAAATTATAAATTATTTGCATTTTTTTTTTATCATTCTCTGACTATACTACCGATAGCCCATTTTTAAAAAAACTTCCCCTTTTAATCAGCATTAAATCCATATATTATTGCAAAGCTATATTTTCTTCTTTCTTTTTTTTTTTTTGTTATCTGAGATCTATAACAGTAAGTATAAACAAACTTTTTATTTCTAAAAATTAATAATTTTTACTTTCACTTACCTATATATGAAATATACTGTAAGCACAGTATTGCGAGCATGACAATTTTCGAATCTGAATTTTCAACGGAAGTACATATTTTGAGGTCTCCTTAGTCCAAATAACCAAGTCCCGCAAATAGTCTGTGTGTGTATATATATATATCTGTGTGACCAGTCTAGCTCAAAAACGAAAAGTCGTATGAAAGTGAAATTGCATATTTAAGGTTTGTATTTACCTGAGGTGTTACAACTTTTTCGTCAAAATAGGCTAACCGGAAGTGGTACTTTATATAATCGATATAACACATTTTTACGATTTTCTCGAAAATTGCTCTAACGATTTTGATCAAAGTCGGTATATCAGTGTATTATTAAGCAGTTTTTAATATAATGTAGGTTTTATTCTCATTAATGTTCTCTAACAGGGCTTAAATGGCTAATTTTCAATATTAGCTTCCTGTAAAGTACCTTTAATTTTTTTTATTTGCAATTAATTAACCAAATTACATTAATCTTTGATATAAAAAATAGTTAAACATAAAATATGAAAGATTTTGATAATTAACTAAAGGACAAATAATTGATCGTAACGGATAATAGCTGTAATGGAGAAACACGAAGAATACGAGGGCTCCCGAAAGATTAGGACATGCTTCCATACGTAACATGAGCTTAATATAGTACGGACTCCGACAATATTATGTAGATGTACATCTGCGGTTTTTATAAATTCTATCATTGGTATTAATTAATATTTAATTGTATAGATTACAGCGATATAAAAATTAAAATTTATAAATAAAAGGGTATTTAAACAAATAAAAATAACCACATTGAAATATAAATAAATATAGATTCTATAGTTTTTACTTTCACTTCCCAATGGTCTGAAAATATTTATTTCTGCTAAGAACGGGGTAGTAAGTGAAAGTCGTGTTATGCGCTCACCAGATTTTTCTATTATTCATCATATAAAGCGGTAATACAAATATATTATGTATTAAAATCTCTATCACAGGAATTGATTTGTATTTTTCAGTGACGAAATAAGTGTTCCTAAAATTTGCGTTTAAAATGAAAAAAAAAAAACTGCTGATTGCTTCAATTATTTTCATGAAATCTTAAATATTAGGATCAGGAAGATTTAATTTGTCACCTATAAATGTGGATCAATCCCTATAACGGAGATCTGGGTGAAATACACTAGTACAGAACCACTTAAAATGAAATATAATTATTTTTAACCTTTTTTTATAAATAAAAAATATATTTAGGCAATTATGTTTATCATAATAAAACCCAAGTCATGGAAAAACGAGAAATAAAGCTTTTGCATCAATTTATTTTAGTCATTTTTGCTGAAAACCCCGGTACTTTTAGGAGGCAGGATATGAAATTGAGATGAATCTCAAGTTTTTTTCCTATAAACCTGAACTTAATTAATATGAACCTAAAGCTTATTAAATGTGGAAGTTTTTATAAAAGTGAGGTATCTTTGGTATAATCAGAAAATGAAAAAAAATTGGATATAATTTATGATTTTATTTTTAAAACTGAACTAAGTTTAGTTTACCCGCTCAAAAGTCCGCATCAAATGGTTTTAACAATGACAAATTCCACTTTCGTTTGAAGTAAATTTTCTCTAATTTACAGTGAAATGATTATTATTTTTATTTTTTGAGTATTACAACAATCTGTCACTTGGACATTAGTTATTGTGAGGTAGGATAACAGGCAGGCTTGTCCCTCCAACTATGGAGGGAAAAGCTGGACTCCAGGAGAACCCTGCTCTACTCTCTCAACTGCATCAATTTTAATTGAAAGTTTAGATTTTCTGTATAGTTGGCCCTATCGTCGGTTAAGTTCTTGTCTTTTAGGTCTGGTACGGGGGTTCCACGTTAGTCGTCTGTCGAAAGGATAGCGTTATCATCAGTGAATGTTGCCAGGAGGGTATCGGGGTAGACAGGAATATCTGAGAGAAATAAGAGATATCTGCGGTGAAAAGAATATAAAGGATGGAACCCAAGACGCTGCCCTGCCGGAACTCCCCCGCCTCAATCAAATAACAGTCGGATAATTCAGTATCACAGCGAACTTAAAAAGAGCGGTCAGAAAGTTAGCATCGGAGTATTAGATATAAGGACTGCGATAGATGAAATTTAAGCTTGAAGAGCAGTCTGGCGTGCCATACCCGGTCAAAAGCTTGCGCTATGTCCGGAAATGCACCCCAACAATATTGCTTCTTTTCTAGGACTGAGGATATATGGTCAAAAATTTGGAGTCCTTGTTGGACAATGGAATGTTGGGAACGAAATCCGAACTGATTTAGATTTTTTGGGATTCTATTATGGGTTGGATCTTTTCAAAAAATTTTTATAGGATTGGGAGTTGGCTAATTAATATATATATATATATATATATATATATATATATATATATAAGAAATATGATAGCTTTGAATGGAAGTTGTCGAAGGATCTGTGGAGTTAGGAGGTCGTATCCAGGAGATTTACGAGGAGAGATATTGCGTAAAAGGTATTTGAGTAAGGTGAGAATCAAAGGATTGAGATCTTAAGAATGATAATTCCTGCTTTAATAGTTTAAAATAAACATTGTAGGAGCGGCGATCGATGGGATGTTCGGTACGTTGCCATAATAATCTGGCACGGCGTTTGGTGTGGATTTGGTCTGTGAGGTGATGGGGTAAACTATTTTTCTTAGGGGTTCTTGAGGAATGATTTGGAGATGAAGCTGTTCATACTGCTTGTTGAATAGTGGTGTTTAAGGAATTTATTGCATAGTCAAGGTCTGGAGTTTTTAAGGTTATTCTGAGGTCAATTTTATCGGAAAGGATCTGATAAAACAGTTTCCAGTTAACTGGACCTTTGATGAAGGACGGTGGAGAAAGTTTAGGAATAGGAGCTAAAGATAATTGGAGTATAATTTGACTATGATCTATGGGAAGTAGTTATAACTACTTAAATTAAATATTTTTTAGTTATTGCTTACTACTCAACAGAAAACCTGACTTTCTAAAACAACCACAAAACTTTAATTTTCCACTGAAAATCTAGTCATTGCTTTTATAAACTTTTATCTAGCTCTTTAGATCTGCTATCACTCATTTAAATACTTCCATCTACTTACGGGACATCCTGTATTTATGGTGAAGTACAC